CCCCAAAACCCCAAAACCCCAAAACCCCAATTCTTGGTTTTAAACTGAATTCTTCTTAATTTTACTTCCTAGGACTGTCTCAAGGTCCAAAATTCTCTTGAGATGTTCCCCTAAAGTCATGGAGTCCTCATCAATCTCATCATCAAGGTATTTAAGATGCTTATTCTCTTTTTTAAAAGTAGAAAATTCTTTAACTGTTGTATTTGTTCGTTTTGTGAACTACATATAAAATAGAAGTTTACCTTTTTAAGAATATCGACAGCTGCATTTTCTTGCCTTTTAGAATTCTTGAAGGCCATATACTCTAGTTCTTTTATCTTTTCTTCAATGCTATCTTCTCTGTCAAGGAAGGTTTTGCGATAATACTCTCTTAGAGATAAAAACTAAATCTTACTTCTTTAATCAATCAACTATAATAACTACTAAAGAGTCTTACCTGCTGCAGCGCCAATATTTGTTTGCTTTTCTTTACCTAAATTTCCTGAAGAAAGATTTCTATTTGGACAGTATTTTATAATCTTGTCCTTCATATCCTTTTGAATGTTATTCTTGGAAGAGTAGTAAGGCATGAAGAGTCACTTAGCCTTCTCTATGATTTCATCATCATTATTTGAAGTCTATACATTTAGCATTGTAAATACAGTTTGAATCTCTTCTAGTGATTTAATAAACTTCTTTCCCCTTTCTAAGAACTCTGATTTATCTGGTAAAGGAGATTCAATTTGTGGTTGGGGGCTCTTCTCATCTTCTTTCTTCTCCTACAAATTACTCCAGGGCTTACATCCAGCTTAGATAGGTGACTTTTAGGAGTTCCCTTCGGTTCACCTTTCTTCGATTTTGAGAGAACGATTCAATTGTTGTTCATCTATTGTAAGAAATAACTTTTACTTTTAAATCTCCAGTTAAATTTGGTGTTAATATCTATGGTTTTGTATGTCGATATTACCTGTTCTTTGAGGTCAAAATCAAACATTTGAATATCTTCTGTCTTTTTTTCTATTCTATTTTTATTTCTACAAGTGAGTTGAGCCTTAAGCGTACCCAACAAGTTCATTCATCATGGTCTTGATTTGCTAATTTTGAACCATCAACACTTACCTTCTTGGTATACATTTGTGTCTTTGAAGATCGGATGCTAGACCTGGTATCTAAAAATTAGATAGAAATATACTAAGAGCTCTTCGAGATGATTTAGGCTCTTTACTAAATTCTTTTAAGAGTTCTTCTATTAAGATATTTATGCTCATTATTCATACTTCATTCTAAAAGCTTGGTCTTTAATGTACCTAAAATTAATGGAATTATGTACCCAAATTTCTCAATTATTAAGGGCTTATGCTTTGAAAAGTTCTTCTTTGCTTTCATTATTTTTTGGATTTTCTTATACTGCCTTTGATCATTAGTTTCGATCTCAGTTTTTGCTTTTTGGATGAGTTTAGTTCTAGAAATTTGATTTTTTTAATTTATTGATGAAGATCATACCTTGTCTTATTTCTTTTAAGTCTCATAGCTGATTGGATACCTCTTTTTTCAACTAATTTTCTCTGAAGGATTATTCTACCAGTTTTAGGATCTTTTGCTTTAACAGGGACTCCAGTCATTGGCCTGATATGTCCTTCTTCTCTGATTTTAACTAAGTCTACATCAAAGAACATCATTTGCTTTTGTGAGAATTTATGTCTCTCTGTCCTCGCTCCTGTAAAATTATCTCTAGTTCTCGCTTCTCTTGCTCTTCGTCTTTTATCAAAACCTGTCATGGGTCTTTTCATATCATTTGTAAAATATTTTTCTCATAGTTTCTTACCGGCTTTAAATGCATTAACAGCTCTAAAGTTTTACTCGTGCTTACACTCCATTCCGGGTTTCATTTGAGAAATATTGATTCTTCATAGCTCTGACTTAATAACTAAAATAATATATTGGCAATTTGTAATGAAGTTTGGGGTTTTGGGGTTTTGGGGTTTTGGGGTTTTGGGGTTTTGGGG